TTTGTTACATACACATTTTGGGAAACTGATTTTTGTCTGATAACGTTACTTTAAGGCATCAATTCCCTTGTTTGAACATTTCAAATTCAAGAACGTTCTGTCTTTATCTGATTGAGTAGAGTCTGGTTTGGCCAAACGTTTAAAAACTATACTGTCTAGTCGATATTGTGTAAATGGAAAAGTCCAACCTTTTGAAAAGCGTGACAGGTGGATATTTTAACGTTACCTATTTTTAAAAGGTGTGGTGTTGTCACAGCTGCCAAATCATAACCCTATTCTGAAGACCTTTTTCAGAACTAAAAACGAAACACTGAAAGTTATTTGAAAGAAGAGGGCGCGGGTGGCCCAGTCGTCTAAGGCGCCGCGATTCGCTGTGCAGAGTTGCGTCCTTTGGGCACGCCAGAAACCTATGATTGAAGGGTTCGAGTCGCCCCGATTTTGTTTCAAGTTTGTCAGCACCATACCCGTGCTCGTTGGTTTCACCGAAGTGGTAAACGTCTGAGACCTGCATTACTTCGGGCTTTCCTCCCACATTTAGCTGACACGCCGTGATATAACTGGAATACTGTTAAAAGCGGTGTTAAACCAAACTCACTCACTCACTGAAAAAAGATTATTTAACTTTATACATCTTCTTTATCTTTTATCGCTTGTTTAGTATCCTGCATTACCTCAATCCCATGGGTGCAAATAACTGACACACTAGACAGACGTTGATACTCTTACTTGTTTTATTATTTTTATTCTCTGTGGTTAACAAAAGTAAAGTAAATTTAAGACTTTGAAATATCGATAATTTGATATACCATTTACAATTGCACACTCATTATTAAAACGACAAAACTATGAAGACGTATGTCTACTCAAGATGTCTAATTTACAATTAGATTAAAAGGTAGGTAAAAAATTGGATGCCTCCAAAGTACTTTTACAGCAATGTCAGATTATTGTGTGAGAAAAACTACCAGATATCCATGATTCTACATCAATATATAACAAATGACTGCAGCAAATATTTATCAGCTTTAAAATACACTGACGAGAAAAAGAAACTACAATGTATACCAAAATCAGTTTCATGAGAATGTGGATTCGAATGTTCATAAATCATGTAAATATTCTGAAATTCAGGAATTTTGTCCCAACCATTATGGCTTAATCACAACTTCAAACAAGCAACATACTACATAAAGCAATGGGAATATTGGAATTTACTCAATTAAACATATAGGCAATGAAAACGGTTTGATCCGATAAACGATAAACTAAAATATTCGATAAAAGGCACAATATTAGACTATAGATATGTTATCTTCAGTATACCAGAATCATGGAAAACAACAATCCAAAAAACTAGAAAAATAGTTTTACAGAATTTGTATATAAACAGTTGCTTACGTGATCTGATGAAGCATGTTAAAGGTGCTAGAAACTTTTATGATAAATTAATATCAAATGAAAATAATCTTAAATTTTGGGAATGTAATGAAACTAAACAAATTTGGAATGATCTTGAACTTTTGCTTAATAAGTATCTTTCACAAAGAAATTAAATTGACAAAATATCTTATTGGTTTGGTTCTAACTACTCTAATACTTTAATCAATCATATAGTTTTATTAGGAAAAGGGCATATTCATGTAAGTGGAATTAAAGGAACCAAACCGAAATTAGATATCCTTTTAAAAATATTTAAAAACATATATTCAATCGAGAAATATATTGCTATAAAAAAAAAGATGACAAAAATAACTTTAACCAAAAAATGATCACCTTTATTCTCAGCATTTGATTCTTAGCTCTCTGTTGATACATGCCATGTTTGTGTCTGATCGTGTGTTGCAGCCGTTTTGGTTTCCAATAGGACAATGTTTGTTTCCAACCCTTTAATCTTTTAAGAGTCTATTGTGCCATTCTATGCTATCCGAAATATGTTTTTGACGGAATACTGTATTAATCTCCAACTCTGGGAGCAATAAAATGTTTTTAAAAATTCTTTGTAATGCATTAAAAACAAAACTCCCAAGTGACGTGAGCAGTAATTACACGATCATCCTTCGTATGATCTTCAAGATCAGCTACTCAGATCTGTCAGTGACAGCATTGCTGCATTTTGTTTTAAGGGATTGCTCACTTTCCAACACTAAATTTTTCAAAGCGCTGTTTGGAAATATTAATTCTGATACATTAACAATTAATCCAAAGCCAGGTTATGTCGTAGAACTGCTCCTATTTAATCTTCCAAGCACAGCCTTGTATCTGATGATAATGATTTTGCACTTGAGAACAAATAACATCTTTCAAACGACGTTCATGATCTGAAACAGAGTTACATGAAAACTATGATCATCATGTTATAGAGTGTGTGAATTAAAAGTTAGGAATCAGGAAGGGAGTCAGCACAATGTGAGTCTTCTAACGACGACTGGCTGTGGATGTAACGACGATCAAGTAACTGGGTGAGTCAATGCTGTTTTAGCAGTACAGTCAGCAATATTCCTAATACATTCTTTGCCCTGTTAATAATCAATAGAAGTTTAACTTGAAAATGATAGAGAACTTTACTGTCAACAAATCGTCTTTATAGTGCAACTGACGTTTTCGACGTCTATAAAAATAGACAATTATTGCATTCTGAATGTATTTTATGAAAATGCTAAGGACATGGCAAAGGTAGTTTATGCTGTGCATTAACTTCCAAATCAGTGACAAAAAATATGTCCTATGTAATTCCTTATTTTGACTTGTGCCATATGTTCCCGTGGTTTTCTTTAGGGGAACATCGTCGTTACACGGCTGAAATATTGCCGATGCGACGCTAAATTTAACTCACTCACTCTGGTGAACAATTGACATGCCTTTGCATGTGTTTGTGACGGTTGCCACCGGTAGGGCATGATTTGCTTACCATATCGCGAACACCTTGTATCATCACTCTTTGATAGTAATTCATAAACACATTTCTTACGAATACTGAATGGGTTTTGTCGCTTTTATTTATGTCATGTTGTTAAATGCTAAGGGGAATTTGTTATATCATATCAAGATATAATGCTATGGTGCGCTTTTTATATTATATCCATGTATTGTGCTGTTGTGAGTTCGTTATATTATATCCATCTATTGTGCCCGACACCCCTTGATGAAACATAGATAATAAACAAGCGCCTTCTGGAAATGCCAGTTATGTGTTCTCATGGCATTTCAAAACTCTTAATTTACAATATGAGTACTCTCACAGGAAAAGGAATCTACTGACTGTAAAATGCAATACCAACGTCTGAACATATCACTGGAAGGCAGAATTGGTATTGTCAAGACGCTTTTGGATACCCTATAAATATTGTCGAAATAGTAAGAACGTAAAAGCGCATTTGTAATCCGATTCAATTAAATTTCAAATACCTCTGAATTTTATCCTATTTCATACATTAAACCTGAGGAGACCGTGTGATAAGTTTTAATAAACGTCACAAACAATTCAATTTATACATGTAATTTGACTGATCGAAGGATGTGTCTGACAGTGTGGATGTGTTTGAATGTGAAAGGAGCTTTGGAAGTTTCTGGAGTTGAGTCTATTGAAATTCCCCAGGTTTAATCTCGTTATCAGTTGGCGAGACATTGTCGCGTGGATTGGGGATTGTGAGAGATGGGTCTTGAGCTGATCATGTACGTGTTGATATATTACCGACATGAAATCTTGCCTATTTTAGCCATGGGACGGTCTGCACGTGTTTGAGCCACAATGTAACAAAAGTTTTTATTTTACAAGCTTTACCAATAGAAATAATCTGCATCCGCTGCATTCTCAACATAATGCAATCAAGCTTCGTCACGTGACACATTTCAAACTCCATAGCGTTCGATTCTTCAAATGTCCAAGCAAATGCCCACGGATACTAACAATAATTAAACTTTATTTCCACCAAATCGTTCTCATTTGTTTAATCTAGATTATCTTTGTGCGTGACTGCAAAGATGTTGAGATGCCTAAAAGGAAAACATTAAGACGTTCTCATTTCCCCAGTGAAACAAATCATCATAATTCACATCTGTAACTACAGTTTCTTCAAAAGCAAATCAACTGCATTCAAGGTCGGCTTTTCTGAAAAACAATGTCTGCAATCGTTCGACTAAGGTCATGAAGACCCTTAAATGGATTTTGTAAATGTTTTTTTCAAAGTGTGCTTCACAAATGCTACAGCTTAAGTCAAGACTAAAATGAAGAAGGCTAACAGTTAGGCGTCTGGGAAATGACATTATTTATTAAGGTTAAAATCAATAAATCACAAGTTGTAAACGAGGAGCCATCTAACCACAAGCTCTTTCTGTAATCTTGATGTTCTAATCCTGTTCTGAGCCGAGAGGGGTTGCATTGCATGTAAGAAAATACCGGTGTAGGTGATTTGGGAAGTGTCCATCAGAGCTATTGCTTATTATAGTGCCGCTTGACGGTTTATTATAAGATTCATAACAAGATTCATTACCTAACCAGGATTTTCTCCCTGGCATGATATCGAAACCTTCAAAACATCCCTCATAGCAACAATTGCATTTGAAGCCACAAGCGTTCGATTGCCGTTCCCTTCATAGTTTGACTAGACTAGTTTCATAGACTAGTCTCGTGTTTCTTGTATCATCACATCATCCATTCTCCCCATCCCCGTCACCTCTACATCGCCTCAATAACCCAGGGCCTTCAGCATTGCAACCCATCTCCACCACAATGACCCAGGGCATCCGTCCTCGTCAACAATTCTCCACTACAATAACCCATGCCCACCATCACCATCAACCCACCTCTACCACAGCAACCCAGGGCATCCGCCCCCCTCGACATGAAGGGAAATTTGACTCTTTGAAAGTCCTCTCTCTTGTAATTCAGACTTCTAAGTTTTTTGTCTTTCGAATTTCTTTAGGTATGGATATTAAAATGACGTAGTTTCATGGGTGTCTTTTATGTCTAGTGCATGTGGATGCCCTGAATGGTTTATCCCTTAATCAACAGTGGGGAAGTCCAGCAATACACTTCTTCTTTTCGCAGTAACTTTCAGATGACCCATGGCTCCAATCACCATCAACTCTTCTCCATCCCCATAACCCATGGCTCCTATCACCATCAACTCTTCTCCATCCCCATAACCCATGGCTCCTATCACCATCAACTCTTCTCCACCACCGTAAACCATGGTTCCTACAACCATCATCCCTTCTCCATCCCCATAACCCATGGCTCCTATCACCATCAACTCTTCTCCATCCCCATAACCCATGGCTCCTATCACCATCATCCCTTCTCCATCCCCATAACCCATGGCTCCCATCGCCATCAACTCTTCTCCATCCCCATAACCCATGGCTCCTATCACCATCAACTCTTCTCGATCTCCATAACCCATGGCTCCTATTACCATCAACTCTTCTCCATCCCCAAAACCCATGGCTCCTATCACCATCAACTCTTCTCCATCCCCATAACCCATGGCTCCTATCACCGTCAACACTTCTCCATCTCCATAACCCATGGCTCCTATCACCATCAACTCTTCTCCATCCCCATAACCCATGGCTCCTATCACCATCAACTCTTCTCCATCCCCATGGCTCCTATCACCATCATCCCTTCTCCATCCCCATAACCCATGGCTCCTATCACCATCAACTCTTCTCCATCCCCATAACCCATGGCTGCTATCACCATCATCCCTTCCCCATCCCCATAACCCATGCCTCCTATCACCGTCAACACTTCTCCATCCCCATAACCCATTGCTCCTATCACCATCAACTCTTCTCCATCCCCATAACCCATGGCTCCTATCACCGTCAACACTTCTCCATCTCCATAACCCATGGCTCCTATCACCATCAACTCTTCTCCATCCCCATAACCCATGGCTCCTATCACAATCAACTCTTCTCCATCCCCATAACCCATGGCTCCTATCACCGTCAACACTTCTCCATCTCCATAGCCTATGGCTCCTATCACCATCAACTCTTCTCCATCTCCATAACCCATGGCTCCTATCACCGTCAACACTTCTCCATCCCCCAAACCCATGGCTCCTATCACCATCGACTCTTCTCCATCCCCATAACCCATGGCTCCTATCACCGTCAACTCTTCTCCATCCCCATAACCCATGGCTCCTATCACGATCAACTCTTCTCCATCCCCATAACCCATGGCTCCTATCACCATCAACTCTTCTCCATCCCCATAACCCATGGCTCCTATCACCGTCAACTCTTCTCCATCCCCATAACCCATGGCTCCTATCACCGTCAACACTTCTCCATCCCCATAACCCATGGCTCCTATCACGATCAACTCTTCTCCATCCCCATAACCCATGGCTCCTATCACCATCAACTCTTCTCCACCACCGTAAACCATGGTTCCTACAACCATCATCCCTTCTCCATCCCCATAACCCATGGCTCCTATCACCATCAACTCTTCTCCATCCCCATAACCCATGGCTCCTATCACCATCATCCCTTCTCCATCCCCATAACCCATGGCTCCCATCGCCATCAACTCTTCTCCATCCCCATAACCAATGGCTCCTATCACCATCAACTCTTCTCGATCTCCATAACCCATGGCTCCTATTACCATCAACTCTTCTCCATCCCCAAAACCCATGGCTCCTATCACCATCAACTCTTCTCCATCCCCATAACCCATGGCTCCTATCACCGTCAACACTTCTCCATCTCCATAACCCATGGCTCCTATCACCATCAACTCTTCTCCATCCCCATAACCCATGGCTCCTATCACCATCAACTCTTCTCCATCCCCATGGCTCCTATCACCATCATCCCTTCTCCATCCCCATAACCCATGGCTCCTATCACCATCAACTCTTCTCCATCCCCATAACCCATGGCTCCTATCACCATCATCCCTTCTCCATCCCCATAACCCATGCCTCCTATCACCGTCAACACTTCTCCATCCCCATAACCCATTGCTCCTATCACCATCAACTCTTCTCCATCCCCATAACCCATGGCTCCTATCACCGTCAACACTTCTCCATCTCCATAACCCATGGCTCCTATCACCATCAACTCTTCTCCATCCCCATAACCCATGGCTCCTATCACCATCAACTCTTCTCCACCACCGTAAACCATGGTTCCTACAACCATCATCCCTTCTCCATCCCCATAACCCATGGCTCCTATCACCATCAACTCTTCTCCATCCCCATAACCCATGGCTCCTATCACCATCATCCCTTCTCCATCCCCATAACCCATGGCTCCCATCGCCATCAACTCTTCTCCATCCCCATAACCCATGGCTCCTATCACCATCAACTCTTCTCGATCTCCATAACCCATGGCTCCTATTACCATCAACTCTTCTCCATCCCCAAAACCCATGGCTCCTATCACCATCAACTCTTCTCCATCCCCATAACCCATGGCTCCTATCACCGTCAACACTTCTCCATCTCCATAACCCATGGCTCCTATCACCATCAACTCTTCTCCATCCCCATAACCCATGGCTCCTATCACCATCAACTCTTCTCCATCCCCATGGCTCCTATCACCATCATCCCTTCTCCATCCCCATAACCCATGGCTCCTATCACCATCAACTCTTCTCCATCCCCATAACCCATGGCTGCTATCACCATCATCCCTTCCCCATCCCCATAACCCATGCCTCCTATCACCGTCAACACTTCTCCATCCCCATAACCCATTGCTCCTATCACCATCAACTCTTCTCCATCCCCATAACCCATGGCTCCTATCACCGTCAACACTTCTCCATCTCCATAACCCATGGCTCCTATCACCATCAACTCTTCTCCATCCCCATAACCCATGGCTCCTATCACAATCAACTCTTCTCCATCCCCATAACCCATGGCTCCTATCACCGTCAACACTTCTCCATCTCCATAGCCTATGGCTCCTATCACCATCAACTCTTCTCCATCTCCATAACCCATGGCTCCTATCACCGTCAACACTTCTCCATCCCCCAAACCCATGGCTCCTATCACCGTCAACACTTCTCCATCCCCATAACCCATGGCTCCTATCACGATCAACTCTTCTCCATCCCCATAACCCATGGCTCCTATCACCATCGACTCTTCTCCACCACCGTAAACCATGGTTCCTACAACCATCATCCCTTCTCCATCCCCATAACCCATGGCTCCTATCACCATCAACTCTTCTCCATCCCCATAACCCATGGCTCCTATCACCATCATCCCTTCTCCATCCCCATAACCCATGGCTCCCATCGCCATCAACTCTTCTCCATCCCCATAACCCATGGCTCCTATCACCATCAACTCTTCTCGATCTCCATAACCCATGGCTCCTATTACCATCAACTCTTCTCCATCCCCAAAACCCATGGCTCCTATCACCATCAACTCTTCTCCATCCCCATAACCCATGGCTCCTATCACCATCAACACTTCTCCATCTCCATAACCCATGGCTCCTATCACCATCAACTCTTCTCCATCCCCATAACCCATGGCTCCTATCACCATCAACTCTTCTCCATCCCCATGGCTCCTATCACCATCATCCCTTCTCCATCCCCATAACCCATGGCTCCTATCACCATCAACTCTTCTCCATCCCCATAACCCATGGCTCCTATCACCATCATCCCTTCTCCATCCCCATAACCCATGCCTCCTATCACCGTCAACACTTCTCCATCCCCATAACCCATTGCTCCTATCACCATCAACTCTTCTCCATCCCCATAACCCATGGCTCCTATCACCGTCAACACTTCTCCATCTCCATAACCCATGGCTCCTATCACCATCAACTCTTCTCCATCCTCATAACCCATGGCTCCTATCACAATCAACTCTTCTCCATCCCCATAACCCATGGCTCCTATCACCGTCAACACTTCTCCATCTCCATAGCCTATGGCTCCTATCACCATCAACTCTTCTCCATCTCCATAACCCATGGCTCCTATCACCGTCAACACTTCTCCATCCCCCAAACCCATGGCTCCTATCACCGTCAACACTTCTCCATCCCCATAACCCATGGCTCCTATCACCATCAACTCTTCTCCATCCCCATAACCCATGGCTCCTATCACCGTCAACACTTCTCCATCTCCATAACCCATGGCTCCTATCACCATCAACTCTTCTCCTTCCCCATAACCCATGACTCCTATCACCGTCACCTCTTCTCCATCCCCAAAACCCATGGCTCCTATCACCGTCAACACTTCTCAATCCCAATAACCCATGGCTCCTATCACCATCAACTCTTCTCCATCCCCATAGCCCATGGCTCCTATCACCATCAACTCTTCTCCATCCCCATAACCCATGGCTCCTATCACCGTCAACCCTTCACCGTCCCCATAACCCATGGCTCCTATCACCAGTGATGTCAATCACTGTATTTTTTATAGGCCGCCGTCATATAGCTGGAATTTAGCTGAGTGCAGCGTTAAACAACAAACCAAAAACACCACCTGAACCTATTGCTGCTATCACCGTCAACTCTTCTCCACCACTATAACCCATGGCCACCATCACCCTCAACCCAACTTCTCAGCCGACACTCTTCGCATCTGTGTATCACGCCATCAACAAAAAACTATCACCCGTCTCCGTCCCCACCGTTCCCGTCCCTGGCATCTGTCCCGTCACGCCTCCCTTGTCTGGTTGTAACACTTTTCCACTCCAGAACTGATACATATGCCGCGTGTACACGACCTACAGCAGGATAATGCCACACAATCTGATCCAATTTGACCTTAAAGAAATCACAGGCCGAGGCGATGTTGGAGAATGGGGTAATTAGCAATAGGGCCTCGCCTATTAAAGGAACCAGGTTCAGTGCAAGGAGGTCCCTGGCCAGAAGCACACACTGAAGTACTGCCTGACATGAGATGTGTATTAGAGGGTACGTTTGCAAGGTCCCGCTACGAGCAAGTAGAAACATCAATCCTAATGCATCCTTATAAGCTGATTAAGCAGGGAGTCGTGTCGTTCTCAACAGAACTGCAATTACCCCACGACTGAGAACACAAGAATCATGGGTTGCACGTTCTGACTATGTTCGGAATCAAACGTGGACTGTCTGCAAGATAAATGTGTTCGTCAACCACAGGGCTACCCCTGAAGTGATCCTGTTTAGGGGGCTGAGGTTTCATCGATTTACAACAATTGTCCATGGCCAAACGGCAATACATCGATGTCAAACTAAATTATCCAGAACCTGTAACATTTAGCTATGTGTTTAATCACTGTCTTACCCATTTCTATGCTAACAACCACATGTGTGTATATATTGTATGTAACTTGGTAATGAGTTGTAATCTGACTCTAACAACTCCCCTGTCTGTCTTTTCAAAGTTGGATGTGTTCGGCTTTGATATATCGAATCAAGCCAAGAACATTGCGTACTGTGAAAGAAAAGCTGCTCCTTGTACTGATCTGATGGTGTTGCAATATCAGTATAACTCCTGCATTACAATACTTAAAGGGTTAGTAGCTATTTAACAAAAGAAACATCTGTCTACATTGCTCATTTATAACATGTGTCACGTTGCAAGAGTTATATTGGAGAAGTATATGAAAGTTATGACGTGGATGGGTGTCACATTGCAAGCGTTACATTGGAGAAGTATATGAAAGCTATGACGCGGCTGGGTGTCACGCTGCAAGAGTTACAATGGAGAAGTATATGAAAGCTTTGCCGCGGATGGGTTAAACAAGATACGTGTTTGTGATCAGCTGACACAGACAGACCGGTATGATCTCGACTATTAAACAGTTCATAGCAAAGTGTTTACGATTATATTAATTACAAACACATTTTATTTTCGAGGCTTAAACTAACTTCTCTTATTCAACACGAAACTTGAAACAAGACAGAAATACCTACCTCCCCCCTATTGTAAGTGTCGAACTGTCGTCGCATGGAGTTTTGCAAAGAAAGTGCTGTTAGAGGGGTTTTAAATTCGATTAATTTGATATTAAAACAAATTATGGAATTTCTTGGTTTCACAGAATAGCCTATACATGCTTGAAACAACTCGTGTCAAACAAACTCTAAGCATGTCTCATAATAAAAGCTATGAACCTTAAAGTCTGTTGTTTAGTCAAGGATAAAGTTTCGTTAAGCCGCCTATATATGTATGGACAGAGCATCACAAAGTCTGTTCTATATACAAGGATAGAGCATCCCACAAATATCTTCTGAAACACTGACAGAGCATCACTAAAACAGTTCTAGACATTCGATTAGAGCATCATCTTATTATGGAAACACAGATATGAGCTTCTCCAAAAGCATCTCTAAACCGGTTCTATAATACTGAACCGCGAAAGAAACGTCACTTCATTAGAATAATTCATGAAAGTTTATCATTGAAATATCCATACATTTTTGGAGGTATCTCGTTTTTTATATTAGTCTGTATCCAAATTGAATGCTAACGGCCACAAAGCGACACAAATATGGATATAATGGGTCGCCAAAACGCAGTTTAACAAACGTCCATGGTACAAAGTCCCGAATGCTTACCATGAAACTCAAACTTCACTTGCGTTTCCTTGCGCCTTTCTAATAAACAGCACCCCAATACGTGGATCTAACACTCCTGTATCGATACTGGCGCCATACCAAGACTTACGAAGAAGAGAAACCAGGCTTTATGATGACTGCATGCTTGTCAAACTGCGCGAATGGTTGCCAATGCTTTTAATGTCCACGTAGGAACCATCTACAGACCACAGCAACGATACCAGGTCACCAATAGCATGCTGTCGTCACAAAGCTTGGTTTTTCTCAAACCCATGGGATCAAATAATTGACACACTAGACTGACGTACATATGCTTACTTGTTTTATTCTTAGCAAAGTTGCACGTGAGTGGCAAAAGAAAATCAAGTTTAAGACTTTGAAACATCGATAATGTGATATACCTTTTACAATTGCACTCTCGTAATTAGAAAGAAAAAATATATAGACTCATGTCTACTACATGTTAACTTTGTCAATAACATTTGCCATTTACAATTAGATTAAAGGAAAATACTAAACTTGTTGAACAATCCTGTTCTTTTACAGCGATGTAAGATGAATGTGTGAGGAATTGTACAACAAGGAGAATTGCTCAACACTCCGTGAAATACATGTTTAAAGCTGTTAAAGAGGCAGGTAATACAGGTAGGGTACGAAATTCTATAGCAAAATCAAACTTGGTACCGAGATACATCTATGTATGTTTACTCGAATTCGAAACATCAGGACTGGAAAATAGCTTCGAGTTATGGGTAAATTCGAGATAAAGGATCTCGATGTAATAGGGCCCGACTGAAATATGATATGATTACATTCACTTCACATGCATGTTGTCAAAGATTTATGGTTGCTTGCTGTCAATAGTACTACTTGTGTTACATAATTCGAAAGCAAACTGTAACAAATGGCTGAAACATTTGTGTGGTAACTATAAAATATATCATACTGACCAAACAAAAGTAACTTTGTCAAAATCACATTTATTAGAATTTGGATTCGAACACGAAATTCTGTTCATAAATCGTGTAAAACCAATCGTAGAAATACAACAGACATCCAGCAACCGAGTCACATGCTTAAGTTCACTAAAATCCGTGTAAAATTACCTAATTCGCCGAAATTGGAAATTCATTTGCAGCAACATCATGAATGCATATATGTGTATAAAACAACTCACAATCCACGTATTACAACCATCAAGAATACCGCGCTACCCACTGTCCTCTCTTGTACAATCACTGAGAAGACCTCTTTACCCACTATCCTCTTTTGTTCAACCGCCGAGAAGACACCTTTGCCCATTATCCACATTTCACTGACGACCGTCACCAACACACGCTTACCAACCACAATGATGTCCACACCCTCAACATACACTTAATGATGGTAACAATTCCTTGTCTATAGCTAATCCTAAACCGACCGCTGCCAATGCCCACCACTGTGCGCCCTGTCTTCAATCATTTTCAAGAACTGCCGACCCGCTCAAAACCACTGAGTACCATCTCTAAAGCACTGTCCGCCCTCTCGAGAACTAAATACACCCTCTCCAAACCAAATGCTCACCCTGTCAACAACCAGTGTGCACCCTCTTAACAACCAATGTCCACCATGTCTAAACCACTGTACGTCCTTTGAACAACAATTGTCTACCCTCTCAACAACCAGTGTTCATCACTCTAAAACCCTTGTCCACCATCTCTTCAAACCACTGTCCGTCTCTCAACAACCCTTGTCCACCATCTCTACAAACCATTGTCCGTCTCTCAACAACCACTGTCCACCATCTCTACAAACCACTGTCCGTCTCTCAACAACCATTGTCCACCATCTCTACGGACCATTGTCCCTCTCTCAACAACCCTTATCCACCATCTCTACAAACCACTGTCCATCATCTCTACAGACCAGTGTCCCTCTCTCAACAACCCTTGTTCTTATTTCTACAAACCACTGTCTGTCTCTCAACAACCCTTGTCCACCATCTCTACAAACCACTGTCCGTCTCTCAACAACCCTTGTCCACCATCTCTACAGACCACTGTCCGTCTCTCAACAACCATTGTCCACCATCTCTACAAACCACTGTCCGTCTCTCAACTACCCTTGTCCACCATCTCTACAGACCACTGTCCGTCTCTCAACAACCCTTGTCCACCATCTCTACAAACCACTGTCCGTCTCTCAACGACCCTTGTCCACCATCTCTACAAACCACTGTCCGTCTCTCAACAACCCTTGTCCACCATCTCCACAGACCACTGTCCGTCTCTCAACAACCATTGTCCACCATCTCTACAAACCACTGTCCGTCTCTCAACAACCATTGTCCACCATCTCTTCAAACCACTGTCCGTCTCTCAACAACCATTGTCCACTATCTCTACAAACCACTGTCCGTCTCTCAACAACCCTTGTCCACCATCTCTACAAACCACTGTCCGTCTCTCGAAACCAATGTCGACCATCTCTAAAAGGATTGTCCGCCCTCTAAACAAAAACTGTTCGCCCTTTCAACAGTCCATGTCTCAACAACCACTGTCCACTCCCTCAACAAAAAACAGCCCTCGTTTTGCTCATGTATTCGGCTGTCAATGTCCACTCCCTGCAAATCTCACGGATAGGCCCAACCTCATTCCTCAATCCTTCGCTATTTCCCTAGCAAGATACACAAGCCTTGCACGTCGTGCAGAGAGAGCATCTGTTAAGTACATTTACCTTGTTATAGAAATAAGCACGTTGTCACCATCTTGACTTTTTGCTCATTATATTGTCTCGTCAATCAGAGCCGCAGCCTGAGTTCGATCACAGCCGCTCCAGCCACGTCGTGATTGAAAAATGACAGTGCCAACCCAGATCCATGACAGCTATTTCCAACCTATCGAATCGATCCTCCCTCATTAATGTAACACATTCTCATTGCTTACGATGCTGAGTGGGCTCGATCCCTTCCAATTACTATTTGATACATTTCAACAACCGCAAATGATGCAAATATGTTCAAGGACGTATTACCTCAAGTTCCTGTGCTGTGCAGTGTTACGATATATATATTTGGAGAACTGTGAATAGTTTGGAATGAGCCCTCATATACAGCTGTGAAGAACATTCACTATACAGGCAGCTTGTTTGAGCGATTTCTGTACACATGTTGAATACACTATTAACCGCCATGGCCTTTACTGTATGCTTGCGGAACCAATGATACATGGTAAAATGTCAACAGCTGATTTGCTAGCATGACGGCAGTAAATTGCCGATTTCTTTTAGCTTTTGCATCTGTGTTTTTCTTCCGTTCAATCAGAACCATTCAAATTCCGATAAAAGTTACAAACGATGCATTTTTCCTTTGTAATGGATTAATAACATCATCCGTCATGAAATCTTCAAGATCAGCTGCTAAGATCTGTTAGTGACAACATTGCGTTATTTTATATCAAGGGATCGCTCACTTTCCAAAACTAAATTTTCCAATCTGCTGTGAAGAAGTATGAAGCGACAGCCATAAATGCTGATGCATTAAGAATTAATCCAAAGCAAGTTTATGTGTTGAGGGTATAACGTTTTGACGTAGTGCGATAATGACTTTGCACTTGAGAACTTGTAACATCTCTCCAACGACGTCCGTAATCTGAGTCAGCTGAAAACTATGATCATCATGTTATAGAGTGGGTGAATCAAACGTCAGGCTGGGAGTCAGTACAATGTGAGTCTTCTAACGACGACTTGCTATGGGTGTAATGAAAAATCTTGTAAATGGGTGAGTAAGTGCTGTTTTAGAGGAACAGGAAGCAATATTCCTGATAAATTCTTTGACCTGTCAAGAATCAATAGCAGCTGAACATGAAAATGATAGAGAATTTTACTGTTAAAAACTCGTCATTATATTGTAAATAAAGCGACAAAGCCCTGTCCATATCCAATAGAAATCTCTGCATAAAGCAGAGCCGATTGTACAATCCCGACTTTATCATAAACATGTGTTTATGAATCACATTTTAAACGTGAGTAACGTTTTAGACGTCTATCAAAATAGACTATTATTGCATTCTGAACGTATTTTATGACATGTGAAGGAATATGGTGAACTCGTTATATTTTATCCATATATTGTGCTTCTCGTGAAGCAGCATGGGTGTTCGTTCAGCATTTCAAAACTCTGAATAAATCTCAGGTAACAACAGTACTATCAAAAGAGAAAGCATCTAATGAATGTAAATACAATACCTTTCTTGTGAACATATCACTTGAAGGCAGGATTAGTATAACTAGACGGTGTTGTATGCTCTTTAAATGTTGGTGTTATAGTATGAACAACAAGGCGTCCTTTTTATCCGAAATCTCAATTACCTCTGAATGTTATCCTTTTTCAAGTTGTACATTAAATCTGAGAAGACTGTGTGATTCATTTTAATAAACGCCACAAATACCTCGGCTCACAAACGTAATTTGACAGATCGAAGGATGTGCCTGACATTGTGAAGGAGCTTTCAAGTTTTAACCTCGTTATCAGTGGGTGAGACATTGATGCAGGGATAGGGGATTGTGAGGGGTGTTGAGCTGATCTGGTACATGTTCATATATTACCGGGGTTGCCCAATACGTGTCTAAACAACAATTTAACGAAATTCAAGCTTTACCAATAGAATAAATGGAGCAACAAAGCCCTTTCCGTTTCCAATAGAGATATCTGGATAAAGCAGAGTTGATTGTACAATCCCGACTATATCATGAGCATATGTTTATGAATCACTATCAAAGAGTAATGATACCAGGTGTTCGCGAAAAGGTGAACGTATCCTGCCCCACCGGTGGCACCCGTCACAAACACATGAAAAGGCAAGTCAATTGTTCACCCGAAAACATATTGGAACATATGGCTCAGGACAAAATAGGGAATTGCATCGGACATAATTTTTGTCACTGATGCGTCAAAAATGTCAACCGTTACACTTTTTGAAAGCTTTACTGAGGCCTTGGTAGAAAGAGCATGCTCGATTGTATATCAAAAGTTGCGAAATGTAAACACCGAAGGCTGGAGCTGCTGGAATATCGCTCGACATGAAGGGAAAGTTGACTATTGGAAAGTTGCAGTCATCCCTCTTATACAGTCTTGTACTAATCCGAATCCGCTCATTCTCCAACTGCACAAAATCACAAACCGAGCTTCGTCACATGACACATTTCAAACTCATATTTATATAGCTCATGCCTCCGGATACTAGTGATAACATTAAAGACGTTAAAACATAAAGACGTTCTGATTTCCCAAGTAAAACCAGTCATCATAATTCACAAATCTTTTACTACAGCTTCTTCAACAGCAAGCAACAACAATCAAGCTCGGTTTTTCTGACAAAATGTGTGAAATCGTCCGACTAAGGTGAAAAAGAACCTTAAACAGATTTTGTAAATGATTTTTGCAAATGCGTGCTTCACAAATACTATCTATAGCTTCAGTCAAGACTGAAATGAAGGCTAACAGTTGACTAGACCAGAACATAAGGCATCTGTGAAATGACAAAAAAAACCACTTTAATGTTGAAATTAATAAATGATCCGAGTCATATGCGCAAACAACCTGACCTGTAAAGACTAGGCAAAGTTGGTGTCGATGTGGATCCCCAAATTAACAGCTAGGAAGTCAAGTAATTCACAGATTGTTTTGGCAGTAACCACCACCTCAACCCCTGGCTACCATCACCGTCAACCCTTCTCCATCGCCATAACCCGTGGCTCCTATCACCATCAACTCTTCTCCATCCCCATAACCCGTGGCTCCTATCAACATCAACCCTTCTCCATCGCCATAACCCGTGGCTCCTATCACCATCAACTCTTCTCCATCCCCATAACCCATGGCTCCTATCACCATCAACTCTTCTCCATCCCCATAACCCATGGCTCCTATCACCATCAACTCTTCTCCATCCCCATAACCCATGGCTCCTATCAACATCAACTCTTCTCCATCCCCATAACCCATGGCTCCTATCACCATCAACTCTTCTCCATCCCCATAACCCATGGCTCCTATCACCATCAACACTTCTCCATCTCCATAACCCATGGCTCCTATCACCATCAACTCTTCTCCATCCCCATAACCCATGGCTCCTATCACCATCAACTCTTCTCCATCCCCATAACCCATGGCTCCTATCACCATCAACTCTTCTCCATCCCCATAACCCATGGCTCCTATCACCATCAACTCTTCTCCATCCCCATAACCCATGGCTCCTATCACCATCAATTCTTCTCAATCCCCATAACCCATGGCTCCTATCACCATCAACTCTTCTCCATCCCCATAACCCATGGCTCCTATCACCATCAACTCTTCTCCATCCCCATAACCCATGGCTCCTATCACCATCAATTCTTCTCCACCACCATCACCGTCAACCCTTCTCCATCACCATAACTCATGGCTCCTATCACCATCAATTCTTCTCCACCACCATCACCGTCAACCCTTCTCCATCACCATAACCCATGGCCAACATCACCGTCAACCCTTCTCCATCACCATAACCCATGGCCACCATCACCGTCAACCCTTCTCCAACATCAAAACCTATGGCTCGTATCCTCGTCAACCATCAACTCTTCCCAAACTGCTTAATCCATGGCCTCCATCCACGTCTACCCTCCTTCTCTGCCGACAGTCATAGCATTTACCCTCACACTATCAACACACTCCTCCATCCCCACTGTTCCTGTCCCAACCTTTGCCCCGCCACGCCTCCCTTGTCTGGTTGTAACACATATTTACGCCAGAATTGATATATATGTCGTGTCTAGAGCAGGATAATGCCACACAATCTGATCTAATTTGACCTTAAAGAAATCAAAGGCCGACGCAATGTTGGAGAACAGGGTAATTAGCAATGGGCCCTAGCCTATCAGAGGAACCAGGTTCAGTGCAGGGAGGTCCCTTGCCAGAAGCACACAATGTCGTAATGCCAGACATGAGACGTGTATTAGAAACTACGTTTGCAAGGCCCTACTACGAACTTGTGGAAACATCAATGCGAGTGCATCTATATTAAGTGATTCATGAAGATTGAAATTACGCCACGACGGGGAACACAAGGAATGGATTTCACGTACTGTCTGCAAGATAAATGTATGCACTACCAAGGGCATATTATAGATACACGAATAGAGCATCCCCAAAACTGCTTTAGAAATACGGATAGAGTATTAACCCAACTCTTTCTATTGACACTGAATGAGCATCACTCATCCTGGTCTAGAAACTCGGATATGAGCCTTGCTAAACCTGTTCTCGAGGCGACATTTGTGCTCATTGGACGTGTCATCTCATGGATAGTCGTCTCAAACGTGAGGTTCACCTTCCATTCATCTTTCCCCTATCAGAATATCTGACCTCAGTGCCACCATCTTCAATCAGTTGTGTCGGGATGAGATCTGTAACTCAGGGGGATGTAACCTCACCGATGGTAATACATCAAGCTCACTTCCCTATCTCTCAACTAGTGAAGTTAATTACTTATTTTCCTTCTTGTGTTATCTGTCATCGGTCCAGTTTGTTATCCGAGGAGGTCAAGACATGTTTACGGAATTCCAGGTTTGACTGAAACGAAGATCAGGTGGTCACCAAGGCTGTATAAATAACACTAAACTGTACGTCTATATATAGTTGTGACCTGGTCCCATTTGCACAAAACGATCTCAGTGCTAAGATGATCTTAACTCCAATACCTTAACATAGGATCGCTTTGTGCAAGTGGACCCTGACTGCCATTATAAGCATGCAGCGTGGATCGTACATCACACTTTCAATCGCTGTAGTGTCCCGTCCACAACTGTAGTATTTTTGTATTTCAAACCAAAACAAACAATTAACAATGTTTGCTATTCAACGTTATTCCGCATTGACAGGATTACATAGCGATATATTTCTGCTGAGTGTACTATAGGATTGTCCACAACCAACAGAGTAGTTGAGAAATGAGAAACGCGATGAGATCGTCAGAGTCACAGTGTCAGGATTCGCCCTGATCGTTCTCGGTTTCACCCAAAAGTTAAACACCTAGACCTGCATCACCTCTGATTCCCCTTGCAGAAGCTTACAGACCTAATACAAATCAAATATTATTCAAAATCGTTCAACGTAACTCACATTAAACCGGTAATGTATATTCAACTGCATCGTATCTGGGGTCAGTTATGTGATTGTAACCAGGGAACGGTTGGTCCACTGTCGGTGCCGCTGTGCAGACCCTTAATACCTGGGGCCCGCTTCACAAAGCGTTGCGTAGAACTACGACTGTATCTCAGAATCATCTAGATATTGTTCCGTGACTGTGGAAGACAATACACGCAAATTTAGTTTCCTAACAATCCAGCCACGTCGTGATTGAAAAATGACAGTGCCAACCCAGATCTATGACAGCTATTTCCAACATACCGAATCGATCCTCCCTCATTAATGTAACACATTCTCATTACTTACGATGCTGAGTGAGCTCGATCCCTTCCAATTACTACTTGATGCATTTCAACAACCGCAAATGATGCAAACATGTTCAAGGGCGTATTACCTCAAGTTCCTGTGCTATGCAGTGTTACTATATATATTTGGAGAACTGTGAATAGTTTGGAAAGGACACCTATATCCAGCCGTGAAGAAAATTCACCTTTCGGTCAGCTTGTTTGAGCGATTTTTATACACATGTTGAATGCACTATTAACCGCCATGGCCTTTCCTGTATGATTGCGGACCCAACGATACATGGTAAAATGTCATTAGGTGTTTTGCTAGCATGACGGCTATCTGCAGTAAATTGTCCATTTCTTCTTCGTTCAATCAGAGTCATTCAGATTCGGATAAAGGAGCAAACGAAGCATTTTTTCTTTGTAATGCAGTAATAACACAACTCCCATTTGACGTAAGAAGAAAATACATGATCACACTTCATGTAATCTTCAAGATCAGCTGCTCAGATCTGTTAGTGACAACATTTGTATTAACGGCTCGCTCTCTTCCAACACTAAATTTTACAAACTGCAATTGCGAAGTATGAAGTGACAGCCATTAATGCTGATACATTAACAATTAATCCAAAGTAAGTTTATGTATTGAGGGTATATCGTTTTGATGTAGTGAGATAATGATTTTGCACCTGAGGACATGTAACATCTTTCCAACGACATCCGTAATCTGAAACCGAGTAAGTTAAAAACTATGACCATCATGTTATGGCGTGGGTGAATCCAGAGTAAGGAATCAGAATGGAAGTCAGAACAATGTCAGTCTTCTAACGACGACTGGCTATGGTGTAATGAGGAGCAAGTAAATGGGTGAGTCAATGCTGTTTCAACGGTACAGTCAGCAATAATCCTGCTAAATATTTTGGCCTGTCTATAATCAATCAAATTGAACATGAAAATGATAGAGAACTTTACTGTTACTAAATTATTATTATTTACAACTGACGTTGTAAATGTCTTTAAAAATAGACAATTATTGCATTCTGGATGTATTTTATGAAAATGTGAAGGAATATGGTGAACTCGTTATATTATATTCATATAGTGTGTTATACTATCAATCTATAATCTGAATACCTTAAGGATTATGATATCTCTGAACAACGTGCAGGAAGTATAGGGGATGCTGACGTTGTCATTCTTAGAGAGGCAGTCAAGTCATCTGACACACACAATAGAGTATATGTTGTTTCAGATTATACAGATGTTCTTGTCTTGCTGATGCACCATGTCGATCCCAAATCTGATGTATATATGAAGACAAAAACACAAACAATATCAATACAAGAATCACAGCGTTCAATTGGTTATCATCAGTGCCAGTTGTTGCCGTGTTTACATGCTGTTTCTGCATGTGACACTACTGTATTTGGCTTTGGTAAAGTGAAGCATTTGGCTTTGGTAAAGTGAAGCATATGAACTTCAAACAGCAGTCAAAGTGTTTGGGGAGGAGGATGTGCATTGGGTGATGTGAAGAAAGCAGGAGAGAGGTATGTTTCTGGACTTTCATCTTTAGATGACCTGCGATACCTGAACATCATATCTACTAGATGGACCTTTAGCTGCTTTTAAATATTTACTTCAATCATTAAGTTGCTGCAAACATTCAAATCGGAATGAAGACCAACATTTGGACAGTTTATGCAAGTATGTATAAAGGGAGACAACTCAAGTATGGCCTTGCCACACATCACCTTGTTAATTGTTAATTTTTTAAACAATTAATCCCAATTCCATTTTCTATCTTCATAATCTGTATTTGTTACCAAATATGGCAAATTATCACCATTATGTGTTTAAAGATATCCTGATTAAAGCCTCCATGAAGAAACCATTTTTCCCTTTTTCTAACATATTTGTCCCAGTAAATAAAATGGTTAAAAATATATTTGCCAGGGGTTGATTTTGATTTGATTTGGTTTGGTATGGTGTGACAGAATATGTATATGATTCATTTTAACATAACATTTGTCTGTTATCAAAAATGTCTAGGTGTTTCAATATTTCTACTGGCCCATATTATATTCATGTATAATATTTGTTTGTTTGTTGTTTAACCCCGCACTCACCAATATATTAGCTATATAACGGCGATCTGTAAATAATCGAGTTTGGACCAGACAATCCAGTGATTAATATCATGAGCACCGATCTACGCAATTGGGATCGATGACATGCATCAACCAAGTCAGCGAGCTTGACCACCCGATCCCGTTAGTCGTCTCTTACGACAAGCATAGTCGCCTTTTCCGGCAATCATGTATAATGCCATGATGAACTCGTTATATTATATCCAGGCATAATGGTGTGATCAACCAGTTATATTGTATTCATGTATAATGCTATGGTGAACTCGTTATATTATATCCAGGCATAAAGGTGTGATCAACCAGTTATATTGTATTCATGTATAATGCTATGGTGAACCCGTTATATTATATCCAGGCATAATGGTGTGATCAACCAGTTATATTGTATTCATGGATAATGCTATGGTGAACTCGTTATATTATATCCAGGCATAATGGTGTGATCAACCAGTTATATTGTATTCATGTATAATGCTATGGTGAACCCGTTATATTATATCCAGGCATAATGGTGTGATCAACCAGTTATATTGTATTCATGTATAATGCTATGGTGAACTCGTTATATTATATCCAGGCATAATGGTGTGATCAACCAGTTATATTGTATTCATGTATAATGCTA